CTAAACATGGACTAAAACTGGACTAAAACTGGACTAAAACTGGACTAAACATGGACTAAACATGGACTAAACATGGACTAAAATGGACTGGACTAAACACATGGACTAAACATGGACTGGACTAAACATGGACTAAACATGGACTAAACACTAAACAGGACTAAAACTGGAAACTGGACTAAACATGGACTGGACTAAACATGGACTAAACATGGACTAAAACATGGACTAAAACTGGACTAAAACTGGACTAAACCAGGACTAAACATGGACTAAACATGGACTAAAACTGGACTAAAACTGGACTAAACATGGACTAAAACAGGACTAAAACAGGACTAAACATGGACTAAACATGGACTAAAACAGGACTAAACCTGGACTAAACATGGACTAAACATGGACTAAACATGGACTAGGACTAAAACTGGACTAAACATGGACTAAAACATGGACTAAAACTAAATGGACTAAAACTGGACTAAACATGGACTAAACATGGACTAAAACAGGACTAAAACATGGATACTAAACATGGACTAAAACAGGACGGACTAAAACAGGATGGACTAAAACACAGGACTAAAAACAGGACTAAAACAGGACTAAAACATGGACTAAACCTGGACTAAAACAGGACTAAAACAGGACTAAACATGGACTAAACATGGACTAAACATGGACTAAACATGGACTGGACTAAACATGGACTAAAACAGGACTAAAACAGGACTAAAACAGGACTTAACATGGACTAAAACAGGACTAAAACTGGACTAAAACAGGACTAAACATGGACTAAAACAGGACTAAAACAGGACTAAACATGGACTAAAACAGGACTAAAACAGGACTAAAACAGGACTAAAACATGGACTAAAACAGGACTAAAACAGGACTAAAACAGGACTAAAACAGGACTAAAACAGGACTAAAACAGGACTAAAACAGGACTAAAACAGGACTAAACCTGGACTAAAACAGGACTAAACATGGACTAAAGCAGGTCTAGACCAGGTCTAAACGGCGTGTTGTTGGTGCGTCACCTGCATGTTCAAGATGGAGGTGATCCTCACGCCGCAGCAGATTCCCTCCAGACGCACAGACGCCACATCAGGGTCGTCACAGTCCTGAAGAACCACGGTGACGACGGCGAGGAGACGAGTCCACGCCGACTACGAGACACGAGACACGAGACAAACACGGTGAAGACGGCGAGGAGACGAGTCCACGCCGACTACGAGACACGAGACAAGCCAGACAAATAAACACAAAACAAATACATTTTGTGTGGTGTTTATCACAGCAGCGTCTCCAGCGTCTCTGTACGTGGCCCCTCCCACCAGCGTCTCTGTACGTGGCCCCTCCCACCAGCGTCTCTGTACGTGGCCCCTCCCACCAGCGTCTCTGTACGTGGCCCCTCCCACCAGCGTCTCTGTACGTGGCCCCTCCCACCAGAGCAGCACAAATGAAGACTTGTCTCTTTCCAAACGTCTTAAAGGACGATGGTTTTGACTGTTGACCGTGACCCTCATCAGAAAAAATGTCCAACATGAGAAAAGTGGAGCCGAGTGCAGGATTTTACAACAAAAATGGAACTTATTCTGTTTACAGACAAGTTCATGTTCAAACTTTGTGTTGAAATTGTATTTTTTCTTAAAGTTTCAGGTTGTTCATAATATTATAATATTTGTAAAAGAAAAAACTGAACCGTCTTAAAACCGATCATGAGATACAAGAGAGAGGGATAGAGAGAGATGGAGGGATGAGAGGAGATAGAGAGAGAGAGATGGAGGGATAGAGGAGAGATGGAGGGATAGAGGAGAGATGGAGGGATAATGTTGCAGGATCAGACTGGTTAAAAACAGAGACACTGGGACATTTCTTCAGTGTTTTTTTTGTATAAATCTGCAGGGACAGGTGGGGCAGGTGGGGCAGGTGGGGCAGGTGGGGCAGGTGGGGCAGGTGGGGCAGGTGGGCAGGTGGGGCAGGTGTGGGCAGGTGGGGCAGGTGGGACAGGTGGGGCAGGTGGGCAGGTGGGCAGGTGGGGCAGGTGGGGCAGGTGGGACAGGTGGGGACAGGTGGCAGGTGACAGGGGGACAGGTGGGGCAGGTGGGGCAGGTGGGGCAGGTGGGGCAGGGGGCAGTGGTGGCAGGTGGACAGGTGGGACAGGTGGGACAGGTGGGGCAGGTGGGAGGTGGGCAGGTGGGCAGGTGGGCAGGTGGGCAGGTGGGCAGGTGGGACAGGTGGACAGGTGGGCAGGTGGGCAGGTGGGACAGGGGCAGGTGGGGCAGGTGGGGCAGGTGGGGCAGGTGGGCAGGGGGCAGGTGGGGCAGGTGGGCAGGTGGGGCAGGTGGGACAGGTGGGCAGGTGGGCAGGTGGGCAGGTGGGACAGGTGGGGACAGGTGGGGCAGGTGGGACAGGGGGACAGGTGGGACAGTGGGACAGGTGGGGCAGGTGGGCAGGTGGGACAGGTGGGACAGGTGGGACAGGTGGGACAGGTGGGACAGGGGGCAGGTGGGCAGGTGGGCAGGTGGACAGGGGGACAGGTGGGACAGGTGGGACAGGTGGGCAGGTGGGCAGGTGGGGCAGGTGGGACAGGTGGGACAGGTGGGCAGGGGGCAGGTGGGACAGGTGGGGCAGGTGGGGCAGGTGGGGCAGGTGGGGCAGGTGGGGCAGGTGGGGCAGGTGGGAGGGCAGGTGGGGCAGGTGGGGCAGGTGGGCAGGTGGGACAGGGGGCAGGTGGGACAGGTGGGGCAGGTGGGGACAGGTGGGGCAGGTGGGACAGGTGGGCAGGTGGGACAGGTGAGGACAGGACTCGAGTGTCTGGTGTGAGGAGCGTCCGTCACGTTCACGTCTGAGCTGCTCCGTGTGTTTAAACGTCGACTCTTGTGATTTTCTCCACGTCCTCGTGTTGAGACAAACTGGACTCGTCTGTTGTGACGCCGTGTGTCCAGCAGATGGCGCCTGCTGCTCCTCACGTGTCCTCAGCACAAGAACCTTCTAGATTTGTACGTCTCAGTTTGAGGTGAGTGAGACGAGCTTCAGTTTGTCAGAAACGGGATTTAAAATCTGATCAGTTTTATTTTCTTAAAGCTGCAGTGTGGGACTTTCCTGCAGAGGGTTGGTCTCCGTGGAGATGTGGAGGCTCTGGGTTCAGGTTCCAAAGTCTGGACTTTTCTTCTGCTTTTATTCATCTCCAGCTCCTCTTCATCGCTCAAAAAAAAAAATATATATATAAAAAAAACACCTCAGTCCATCTGTTTGGGAGTCGCCGCTTCACAGATCTGACCGGTCGTTTGGTTTGTGAGTCTCCATGGAGATTCTAACGTTTATGGACAAACTGTGGAACATTCTGGGTGCATCTCCATGGAGACGAGCAGGTGACAGAACCTCCAGTGGAGAAGTTCCACAGAGCAGCTTTAAGGACGAAGGAAGAGAGACGAAAGAAACTCAAGAGAAATAAATAAATAAAATAAAAAGATTTAAATAAATAAAATGATAAATAAAAAGCTAAAAAATAAATACATTTAAAAAATAAATAGATACAAATTTAAAATAAATAAAAAAATAAACAGATAAGTAAATAAATAGATTAAAAAAAATAATAAATAATGGGTACATTAAATAAATAATAATAATAATAATAATAATAATAAATAGATAAATAAATAAAATGATAAAAATAAATAAATTAATTTAATAAATAGATTTTAAAAAAAATATTATAAAATACATAAATAAATCAAATAAAAACATGTCGTCCTCAGACGCAGCTGTTTCTGACCAAACCTGAACAAAACTGAACAGAGAGAAAGAGAGAGAGAGGGATGACAGGAGAGAGGGATGACAGGAGAGAGGGATGACAGGAGAGAGGGATGACAGGAGAGAGGGATGACAGGAGAGAGGGATGCAGGTCTGTGTGTTTGTAATGTTCATGTGTTTGTTTTTTTGCAGCGAATCTGTGAACGAGGGAGAGAGAGAGAGAGGTGAGA